ATCATAGGAAGTTTATAAAAAGAAAGATCTTTTAAATCGAACATGTTTAATACTTTAATTACTAATCTACCAAATCTCTAATGAACAGAACGTTATTTTAATCTTTTCTTACAACATATTTAAATTAAAACCGACATATACTGTTTCGGCAAGAAAATATAAGATTTACATAATTTCAAAGGGTAATATGCCTTTTTTTTTAATCAGATGAATCAAGATACATATCACTAAGCAATTATTTTATGTGTCTAAACACAAAATAATCAATCGTAAGGTTTTTTTTTTGTGAAAATATCCCACTGCCTGAGCAATAAAAAGAAATATTGGCGATGGGGAAAATGGCACATAATGAAATCATAAGAAAAACAATTTAAACAAAGAACAATAAAGCAAATGTTAGTTTTTTTTTATAAAAATTGAGTAAGAAAAGTGTTTTACTTGACAACTCTGAGGTTGTCTTATATTATTTTTAACTTAAGAGTGTACTGTATGTCTGTATATGTTAAAGTTTACTTTCAGTTTGACATGAGCTTCTTTTTTTTAAATTTTTTGTTTACCTTCTATCAGGAGAAAAAAAAAGCAGTTCATTTTTTAATATTCAACAGAATTTTAAAATATATGTCGAAATTTTTGTTGATATCTGTGCTGCTTAATAGAATGCAACGATGATTTACATTATAACTTATTTTATGAATGTTCAGAATTGAAAAAAACTGGATGATAAGATGAACGATAATATCTCTCTATCTAAATTAAAGATCATCTATTTCTTATAGGTGTTAATTTATATTTTATATTGAAGTCTGTGTTTTTTTTTTATAAACATTTATTGATTGCTTGAGAACAGCAATGTTTTTTTCGTATGAAAAGAATACTTTTTTACGTTATAAAATTTTTTAAAACATGATGGGATTTATTTAGGTAAATATTTTTCATCTTTCAGCCCATTTACAATATGTCACCCAAGAGTTTTATGAATTGATTTTGTTCCTATATCAAAAGAAAAAACAAACCAAGCGACAGTATGCGTTTTATTTTGGTTATTTGTGTAACGCAATTCGAAAAACGACGCATTTCAATTTTAGCAGTATTTTTTTTTTTGTTAATTATGCAATGGAGTCAGTTGGTTTATAATAGAACAGATTGAATGTTAATTAAACAACTCAAAGGACAAAATAATAAGGATCAATTATGTTATGAATCTTTCTTTTTTTCGTTTGTCTCGAACATTTTGACCTTTCGTCAAGAAACTATAAATAGTAAATTGTTCATATTAAATCCTTTAAAATACTATAAATATCAACATATTTATTAAAATATTCTCTTATAAATCATGAGAAGTAAAAAATAATGATTTTATCTGATGAGAAAAAAATTTCATCTAGATTTTCGAACCGCTAAAATTCTATTTAGTTTTAATAGGAATATAGTTTCCATTATATAGAAAACATTGTTTAAAAACGTTAATTTGCGATTGATTTGTGTAACAAATATCATTGGGTCGATGACCTAAATTTCGAAGCATTTCATAAACAATTTCTCCGGCCCAAAATAATGCATTTGAATCGTTTTTAACCGATCCATTAAGTTTATCTTGATTTAATTCAATTTCGAATTCACCATCAATTAAAAATGATGATCCATGAGAAATACAAAAAACACACGGAAGAGAATCGTTATTTTCTTTTTGATTTTTTTCATGAATTGGATAAATATCAATGATGGGAATTTCACCATTTTCACTTTGAGTTTTCAAACACATTAATTGATAATGTAATAATTTATATTTATTGTAATAAATTGAATTTTGTGTTAGGTTTGATTGTGACAAAACTCCTTGTGATAAGAAACAATCAGACGTACCGCAAATTTGATATAGATTTCGTAAAATTTCTGGTTTAAATAATCTATCAGCAACAATTTGTAAAGCATTTTCAATAATTGACACTTGATCTGATGTAAAGTCATCATGAATTTCATAAAAAAATTCGAATTTTTCTTGAAAATTTTGAGATATAACTCGTTTTGCTGAACCATAATGAATTTGTTGTTCGTTTTCTGATCTATTACTATGATCATTTGTATCTTGATGTTGTTCTGATGATAATATATCACTATCATAGGATGTTCTTCGAGAATTTTCAGTAGAAGATGATGAAACAAAAAATTCGTCATGTTCACTAGAATCTAGCGGTTGATAACCAAGATCTAGGTACTGAACTACAATATTAAAATGTCATTATGTAAACAAAGACTTACTCTAGATTTAAATCGACTTAAAAGATTGTTTCGCAATGACTGTCGTGACATTCGATTCGCTGGTAAAATAAATCTAAGATTTTTTTTTCTTGATGATGTATTATGTATTAATAGTAATCAAACAAATTTGTGTTAGTTTCAGCAATGTTTAAGCTTACTTTTTATATAGGACAAATTGTTGTTTACCAAAAAGAAGACTTTTTTTTACTATTCTGTTTCACGTCACATTACTCATTCTGCTAAAGCTCTTATTAAATGTTGTCTTCTGATTGCATAGTCATGATTCTTTTTTTAACTATTTATTTATGGACAGAATGATGTTACATTTATTCATAGCAGCCTTTGGATTTTTTCAACTTGACAAAAAGCTCAAGAATATTTCGATGCAATCGGAAAACACATGCAGATCAAATAGATATGATATTTTCACTAACGATTATTTATTTCTTTTTTTTTTGGTACACTTTTTGTTTATTTCTTTTCCTCAATTCTGTTACTACAAGCTTTGCGTTTGAAAATTTCATAACGTCCTTTGATTAATAAACATAGGTTCCTCTTTCGATTCTTACTTGTAGCCTATTTGAAAGTTCCGTGGAACATATAAAATCCATGATGATTCTTGAGGAAATCACCAAACTGATTTCCAGAAATGATCGAGTGGCTCTCAGAGAAATCTCTAGAAGTCATTACACCAAAGAAAGTGTGAGTGTGGTTTTTGAGTGTAGTTGTGGTTAAATAGAGGTTCTACACCCACACTAACAACTGCAAATACATTCATCTAAACTGTTAAAACTGTTTGATATGTCACAAAAATCGCGACGTTTAAACTTTATTCATTTAAACGAGAAAAACTTGTGAAACAACTGAATGCTTTTAAGTAGTTTTAACAGTTGAAACCCATGATAATTAAACATCGTTTTCCCCTTTACTTTCCTGCCTAAGAGAAACTCGAAAAACCATGTGTAATATCCTTAAGTATCATCAAACAATTAATAATCTATAATGTACTGGAAAGTAGATATTTTGCTTCGTGTAATGATCTATAAGTCACAAAATCGATAAAATTGACTAAAATTGACTTATTCTGAGAGGATAGGACTTAATAAAGTCGACTCATTGTGTGTGAAAGAAGTTCATATTTAGTACAAGTTAGGGCATGATTCTATACTGAATGATATAAACAATTAATTCAAAAATGAAAAAAAACAAGATATGTGACTACTGGACCCTGACGGACAATACGAGTTGAAGTTCAAGAAGATCTTCTTTTTGTTCTTTCCTAAACCTGTCAATCCTTGTTAAAGGAGTTATATGTGTCAAATGTAGGAAACTGCAAAGTGGTCCCGGTCCCGGTCCCGGTCCCGCCGGGACCGGGACTAAAAATTTTTCATACTGGTCCCGGTCAGTTTTTTATGCAATGTGTCGCCATTTATTTTATTTTTTTGACAATAGTAATGGCGACTCAGTATAAATAATC